AAAAAAAAGGAAAAAAACTCGAATTCGAGGTTAAGGAAAAAAAGGGAAAACTACTAGCAAAAGGGGTATGGGGTATGCGTCCGAATGTATGTATGGGCGAGCGAACAAATGAACAAATGAATGAATGAATGGACCAGCCACGCACACATGTACGCATGCACGTATGTATGCTCGCTGTGCTCCCAACTCCAACTCCGCAACCCAAGCCAACCTATCCCAGCCGCATTAATCGTACACCCCCCAAACTCCGCACCCCCTACTCCGTCACCCTCCTCACCCACAAAGTGCCGAACCCGACCCCCGCCCCCTCCCGCTCCTCCCTCTTCCGCGCTCGATGCAACTTCATGCCGACGTCATGCTCCTGGCGCCCCACCTCCGCCAGCTCCGCCTCCAGGCTCTTCACCCTCGCCTCCTGCGCGCGTCGCGTCGCTAGGTCCGTTACTAGCGGGTTATTTGCGGTTTCGGTGTCGGTGAGCGACTGGATGAGGCGGGTGATGTTGTTGCGCTGGGTGGAGAGCGCGTCGAGTTGGAGGGACAGTTTGGTTACGTGGTCGGTGGCGGGGTTGTCGAGGGATGGGGGGAGAGGGAGCGCTTTGTTGGCGGAGGTGGGCGTCGAGGGCGTGCCGGGCTTGGACGAGGTGCGTGCGGGGAGGTGCTCCGTCATGGAGCGGGTTGGTAGCGGCGGGCGCGCGGGGCCCGTGGGCGTGGTTGCGCCGCGGCCGCGGTCCATGATTGAAGCGGCGGCGGGCGCGCGGTCGGTGAAGCTGCGCTGGGGTTGATGATGAAGGCGCTGGTGAGGTTGGGATTGGGACAGCGGTTGCGGCTGCGGCTGATACGGCGCCGTGTTCGCGCGCTGCTTGCCCGGTTGCAGCGTCTGCCCTGCCGAAGGCGCTGGTACGGGCTTTCGGCTCGGCACCGTCGACAGCGTGCTCGTGGCGATGCTGGACTGCGAGGCCGAGGCGGCGCGGTTGCGCAGGCTCAGCAGGTGGCTGGCGACCGAGACGGCGGGCGGCGTGAAGATGGGGTTGTGCGACTGGCGCGCGGTGCCGTACTGCGCGTCGAGGCTGTATTGCGCGGGGACGGGTGGCGGGCTGGGCGGCGGGCTGTGCGCGTAGTAGAGGGAGGGCGTGTGCTGGAATGAGGTGGCGCGCGTGGTCCAGCTGAAGCGGCTCTTGGGATCTTCGGCAGCGGCGTCCGCACTGGATGGCAGGTCGACGTCGACGGTGGGCGGGCGGCCAGCGTTGCTCCACGCGTCGAAGGGGTCGGTGGTGCGTTCGGTGTGGGTAGTAGGCGGGCGGCCGGCGTTGCTCCAGCCGTCAAACGGGTCGTCGGTGCGCTCCGTCTGGGCAGTCAGCGGGGTGCTGCCATTGCTCCAGAAGTCGTCGTCGGCAGGGTCGTCGTCGACGGGCGAGACGTCGTATGTCAGACCCGTGAGCCCCAGCCCTTGCGGCGGCCAGTGCTCGTGCGGCACGTTGGGCGTGGGCTGCGAGTAGAACGACGACGCCGCGTTCGAGTACGGCCGGATCTGTAACGCTTGCTTCTGACGCTGCGTGTTGGAGACGCCGCCGTTGCCGTGAGACGCGCCCGCGCTCGACCCTGAGTCCTGCCTCGTGTGCGCTTTCTGCAGCAGCCGCGTGTCGTAGGATGTCTCGATCAGCACGGGATTGCCAATCTGCACCTGCGCGGCCGTGTCTTTGCCGCGCGAGAGAAAGCCCTTCTTCCACATGTTGTTTTGGTGGTGTTTGATCCTGGGGAAATCAGCACTGCACCACTATATAAATGCACAGTGGCATGAGGTCCATTGCGGGCCAAATGAACGTGGTCAAAGCTGGCGGTGACGTTGCAGTCCAACAGCCAACAAAATGGCGATAAACAAAAAGGAAGCTTGTTTTTTGAGTGCGAGGGTGGGAGGATCAGGGCGCGGGATTGCTGAAGATCTCTGGGGAGATCAAACAGCGTGCAAAGGAAGATCAGCACTTACGGAACGGCGCGGGCCACGCAGGGTACGGCAGGGCTGAATTAGGTAGGGATGGTAGGAGATGCTACGTAGATAAGAAGAGAAAAGAAGAAAGAGAGAGACGGCAGGCCAGCTGTGTGTGTGTCTTGGAATTGTAGAGCAAGAAATTCACGACAGGGAAGGCCTCGTTATGAGGACCCGGAGGAGGCGGAGATGGCCATTGTTTCAGAAACAGGGTGTTTACGTTTTGCTCGCGGCGCAGCGCTGGCCGAACGCTGACTGGCTGGCCTTCCCTGTCCCCCGCTCGCGCCGCCATTTCGGCTCTCGAGCTCCAATGAGCTGCGTCCAAGTCCCATTCTCCAACACGTCCAAACACCTTGACCTCTCGCATCATGGCTGATAGTGAGTTCCTTCGCCCATCCATCCACCGCCAGTTCCAAAGTCCTAACCGTTTGCCGCCGCCAGCTCAGGTTCCCGTCGATGACACCCCGATCAACCCAGTCGCTCCGCCGGCCGCCGAAGCGTGCGCCCTCCACCTCCACCTCCACCCCACCAACCCTCGCAACACACACTAACCCCGCCGCAACAGCCAGTCGGTCATGACGCCCATCAACATGGTGCTGCTGTCGCTCTTCGTGGTGCTGGTGTACCTGCGCCTGCGGCCCAAGCCCGCCCAAGTGCTGCCGAAAGCGCCCGCGCCCGTCGTCTTCAAGACCTTCACGCCGCCGACGCTGCTGCCCTACAACGGCGAGAACGGGCAGCCCGTGTACCTGGCCGTGCGCGGCCGCGTCTTCGACGTCACCCCCGGCCGCAACTTCTACGGCCCCGGCGGGCCCTACGCGAACTTTGCCGGGCGCGACGCCAGCCGCGGCTTGGCCTGCGGCAGCTTCGACGAGGACATGCTGACCAAGGACCTTCAGGGCCCGTTGGACAAGCTGGAGGACCTGGGCGACGAGGAGATGGAGGCCCTCATGGGCTGGGAGGAGCGCTTCTCGGAGAAGTACCTCGTCGTGGGCAAGCTGGTGCCGGTCGGTAGCGACGAGGCCAAGGACGCCGAGTCGTGAGAGGGCGGATATGGGTAGTTTGGTGGTGGGGAGTTACAACGAAGAGACACTGGAGGGATGATGGAGGGGTACTCCTAGGGGCAAGCTGATTGGAGTAGTTTTAAAAAGTCGCCACACTGCACGGCAGAATGAACGAGCGTCATCAGTTCGTCGTGACACTTTTTGACGGATGACCCGTCCAGGACCACTGGGCACGACGGGATTTGCCAGTAGCCGAGTTGGCCGTGCCTCGGCAAATGGAGAAAGAAAGTGCATGACGCAGGGTCTGGAAGGTGGCTGTCTCCATGTGCCACACTTTGACCGCCTCCGCGCGCGCGCCCTTTTTCCCTTTTGTCCCCCTCTATGCTTCCTCCCTCTTCTTCTTCTTGATCGCTCACAGTATAGCAGGAGTTTTTTCTTCTTCTTCTTGTATATACCCCCTTTTTTATTCTAATTTTCACATTCTTATTACCTTACTACTATTATTATTCTTACTCCCGGACAACGACAACAACACCGGCAGCAGCAGACATGGATGGCAGCACCTCCCCGACGGCGCTGCTCGCCTTCCTCGGCCCCAAGATCCCCATGATGCTCAAGACGGCCCTCTTCCACAGCCTCTCGCTATCGCACACGTCGTCGAAATGGGACCTGCGCTCCGAACTCGTCGTCAAGGTCATCCGCGCCGAGATCTCCAGCCCCCGCCCCATGTCCATCACCCAGCAGCAGCAGCACGTCAACAAGATCCACCCCGTCAAGGGCCCCACCTGGGTCAGCCGCGTCGCCATGCCCGCCCCGCCCGAGGACGATATCCGCGCCGCCCTGCTGCAGGCCATCGAGGACATGAAGCAGGACGGCGACGAGGCGTACACGGTGCCCGAGCTGCGCCAAGTCGAGGCCGAGTGGCAAGGCCACCGCGCGGGCGTTCCCAAGGACGCGCCTGAGCCCAGCAACCTCTCAGAGGAGGAGAAATACGCGCACATGCTGAAGGAGGTGCACAGCGACGCCGTCGTCCTCTACTTCCACGGCGGCGCCTTCTACCTCCTGGACCCGTCGTCCCACCGCGCCACCACGACGAAATACGCGCAGCAACTCGGCGGCGCCCGCGTCTTCTCCGTGCGCTACCGCCTCGCGCCGCAAAACCCCTTCCCCGCGGCGCTGCTGGACGCCCTGCTCGCGTACCTCAGCCTGCTGCACCCGCCACCAGGATCGCTGCACGCGCCCGTGCCCGCCGACAAAATCATCGTCGCGGGGGACAGCGCGGGGGGGAACCTGGCGCTGGTGCTGACGCAGACGCTGCTGCAGCTGCGGCGCGCCGCGGGGGACAAAGTGCCGACGATGAAATTCCACGGCAAAGACGTCCCCGTCCCCCTGCCCGGCGCGCTCGCCCTCACCTCCCCCTGGACAGACATCACGCGGGCCCTCCCCTCCATCGCCGCAAACGCGCACTACGACTACCTGCCCCCACCGACTACCAGCAGCAGCGGCGCACGGTTCCCGCCGTGCGAAGCCTGGCCTACCAACCCACCCCGCGTGGATCTCTACTGCGAGGGCAGCGCGCTGACGCACCCGCTGGTGTCGCCGCTGTCGGCGCCCGATTGGGCGGACTGTCCGCCCGTGCTGTTTATTGTCGGCGAGGAGATGATGGCGGATGAGTCGAAGGTGCTGGCGCACCGCATGGTGCGGCAGGGCGTCAGTGTCGTGTGGGGCCAGTATGAGGCCATGCCGCATTGTTTTGCGCTCATGCTGGAGGGGAACAGTAGTGCGGGCAGGGCGTTTGAGCAGTGGGCGGCGTTTGCGAGGAGTGTGGTGGGTGGGCAAAGGGAGAGGGAGGAGAGGGAGGCGGAACAGGGCGTGGGAACGAAAGTGCACACGCACGGCGAGTTCGTCATGGCGCGCACGCTGGGCACCCACAAGGTCGACATGCACCACCTGACGGAGCTGACGGACGCGCAGGCCGAGCTGCTGATGCAGGCGGCCAAGGGGCGGCTGTGCTCGGGTGCCAAGGGCGAGGCGGAGTGTCGGCCTATGCCGTAGGCGTGTGCCGTAGCCACGCTTCACGTACACACACACACACACTACCTACACGGAACAAGGCCTAAGGAATAAAGACTAATACCCCTCGCAAGCAATTGCAGCACACGTCTACCTACGCACCCCTCCGCCCCCAAACAAACCACGCCCGAACATAGACCCCCCCGTCCGCCTCCGCGCGGCTCAACTCCCCCCTCAACCCCCCCACCAACGCACCCACTTCCTCCCTTGACCAGCCCAGCTCCCGGCAAAACAGCGCAAGCGAGTACGCCTCCAAGCTCTCGTGTATCAGCGCCAGGGCCTGCTGGCCGAGCGTCTTGAGCGCGGGGGAGGGGTGGTGGGGGCCCAGCGGCACAGAGCGGATCTCCTGCCTCACATCCACGAACCCGGCGTCCCGCACCCACCGCGCGAGGCGGGGCGCGGCGTCCCATTCCCTGCCTGCGCTGATGGATGCCGCTCTTAGTAGGCGCTGCCAGGATGCGAGGGCGGGGTAGGCGCGTGCTGCGGCTGCGGCGGCGCTCTGTGTGCTGCTGCTGCTGCTATTGCTATTGCTGGTCCTGGTGGCGCGCTCGCTAGGCCTGCTCCTGTGCCGGTGGCGGTGGCAGGTGGTGCGGCGTCTGGGCAGCTGGGGGGCGGACGGAGGCGCAGCCGAAGGCAAAGCCAAAGCCAAAGAAGAAGAAGAAGTCGAGGTGTGGGGGCAGGCATTGTGGAGGAAAAACCTCATCTCCAGCTCCTGGCACTCGATCCAGCCCGTCCCAGGCTCCAAATGCGCACACGCCTGCCCCAGCAGGCGCGGCCAGTCGCCTATCCCGCCGCCGAGGCAGCGGACGTGGATGAGGTCGAACTTCTCCTCCCCGTACGCCCACGCGCTCTCGCAGTCATCAACCTCGAAGCCCACGTTCCGCGGCACCCACCGCGGCTGTATCGGGCTGAGATCGCAGCCTAGGACACTGATATCCGGGCGCGCTTCGCCGAGCGCGATGGCCCACGCGCCGGTGCCTGTGCCCAGGTCTAGGACTCGTGGGCCCCGAGCGCTTTCCCTTCTACCCTCCCAAGGGCTGGAGCCGGGGCCATCCCGATGGTCGGGGCCTGGGTGGTGGGAAAGTGGTGATGGTGAAGGTAACGCTGGTGGGGGGAGGGGGGCATGCAGCAGTTTTCCGCCAGCAGCAGACAAGAACACAGCATGCAGCAGCTCGAGCCTCTGCTGCTCCTGCGCGTCGTCGGGCAGGGGGTAGGCGCCCTCGCGGTAGGCGTGGTAGCGGCGGCCGAGATCGAAGACGTGGGCGTGGGTTGCGGAGAGGGAGGTTAGGGATGTGTTTGTTGATGCTGAGGGTGATGAGGGGGTGGATGTCATTGTGTTTGTGTTTACTGGTTGGTGGTGGGGTGGTGGTTTGAAAGAGGGACGAAGAGACAGACGAAGACGACGACGACGACGATGATGAAGAAGAGCATGAAGACGAAGACAGAAACAAACAGAGGCCCATCACTCTTAAATGCAGCAGCACCCGCGGACGCCAAGCGCAATTCAATTTGTCTCCATCCAACCTCACTGCTCCCATCATCCCCGGCCAAGCACCCCTGCCCCAAATCCCCGGACGGACGCCCCTCTTGCCGCCGCTCCCCGAAAAAGAAAAAAATAAATTCGACATGTACGGATCCGTATACGACAGAACAGCTGCCCGACACAATGCGCCCTGTCATATCGCCCCGACTGACCCGACTGACCCGACCCGCCCGTTTGCAACCCACGTTCAACGTCAAACATGCCTCCCCCTCCTCCACCGGGTCTTGCCTTGTCTTGCCCCACTCCGCCGCCTCACTCCCTCACTCCCTCCCTACCTCCCCACCACAGTAGCGCGCTTCTCCGCCCAGCGCGCGAGCCTCACGCTCGGCGCATCAACGCACCGCCAGAAGATATCCGCCGCGCAAACGCTGACCCCCAGGCTAATGAGCCACCCCACAGCCAGACAGCCGACGTACCTGCCGTTGCTAAACTCCGGGTTCTCCACCAGCGTCGTCACCCACTCGCCGCTGTCGACCAAGTCCGCAACCTCGTCGTACCGCCCCGCCAGCCCGCACAACACCCGCATCACCACGAACCCCACGCTGTGCATCACCGGCCCGTGCATCAGGTAGAAGGCGTAGCTGATGCGCCCAAAGTACTGCGCCATCGACGACTCGAACGGCCGCCGCAGCGCCGGCGAATTGCACACGGCGTGCAGCGCCAGCAGCGCCCCCGACGCGTGGAAAATGCGGTACCAGCGCGCAATGCCGAACAGGTACGTGGGCACAAACGTCTCCGTCAGCCATATGAAGCCGGGCGTTGTGCCGCCGTCATCATCCGGGAACGAGAGAAAGTACACGGCGACGAACATTTCGGCCCACGGCCACCACCGCCGCCAGCCGCAGACTCCGTTCCGCCGTCCGCGCCCGCCCCGCCAGTGCAGCACCCCCATACCACTCTCGCTGTCGCCCCACGCGTCGCTGATGAGGTCCAGCTCGGCGATCACGGCGCCGATCAGGAAGAGCACGCACTCAAACTTCCCCGCCCGCGACCATATTGCCGCCATCAGCGTGAGGAGAAGCATGCGCACCCCCGAGCGCACCCGTGACAGCCCAACCAGCGAGATGAACAGGACTATGCTGGCGCGGAACTCGAGCGGGATGGTCCAGAGGTGCGGATCGTAGAGGTTGTATCGGTCGTCCCAGTGCGCCCAGTCCACGTAGTCGGCCACAAAAGTGAGATAGTCGCGCAGGTGCTCCTGCAACGTCGGAAACATCACGGGATGCTGCTCTGGGTAGAAGATGGTGATGCCGTCGGACATTACAGCGGCCCCCAGCCGGAACGCGCCCAGCCAGCTAAAGACCAGCACGATGAATGCGCTCGCCAGTGTAGGCAGGTACAGCCGGATCGGGCGACGAAACGTCTGTGACGCCAGCCCCGCGAGCGCCGCGTCCACGGCACGGGCCCGTATGGCCGCCAACGCCCGCCGCGCGAGCACATACCCGCTCAGCGCGAAGAAGACGGACACCATGGCTCGCCCGGCATACAAGACGCGCACCACGGGCAGCTGGTGCGCCCACTCTTCGCTCGGACCGGAGCTCCATCCGCGGGCTACCCTTGGCGTATACGCGAAAAAGAAGTGAAAGTTGAAGACAATGACGCAAGAGATACCTCGGACGCCGTCGAGGGCAGCGAGCCCGCCTACGCGCTCGGGTCCGTTGCCAACATTGCGCCAGAGAAAGCTGGGCACAAGGGGGGCAAGGACGCGCCGCAGCAACTTTCTGCTGGAGTGAAGGCACGCGCGCAGGATGTCCGGTCCGAGAGAGGAGGCTGCTAGTGCTTTTTCGCTAAGGAAGTAGGCCGTGGACGGGGGCGAAAAGGCAAAGGCCTCCGGGTCATGAAAGCGTGACTGCGATTGCGGTGAAACAGGAGAGTCCGGCGGCGGCACGGCCGCTGTGGTTTCGGTTTCGCCATCGGAGCTCGACGAGGGGATGAGGCCGTACGCGTACATTATCGCAGTGTTTGACAACACTAGCCCATGGGCGGCTGCTGCAGTACGAGGCGAAAAGTGAATCTATCGAACTTGGGTCGTGTCGGCGCGGCCTAAAAGTATGGCGCGCGAGCATTGTTATGCAGGTGAGCTGGAACGCAACCGGCAGGTACGATGCAAGGAGCATGAAGAGGGCGCTTTGTTTGCCGAGGCATCACAAGGTCTGCTGGATGAAGGGCGCCCTTTTCGGTGCCGCATTATGAGCTGCCGTCGCTGCCAGTTGAAATACGCTGGCCAAACTGACGGGCATGTTTGTGCGATTGAGACGGATCGATTAAGATAAATGAGACATATGAGAAAACGGTTGTGATCGAGCTGCTTCAAACGACCACGTCCATCCAGCGAGGGCGGCTTTGACGGTGAAGAATGCGGGTGCGAAGAATGCGTCGATCCATCGTCAAAAACAAAGGCAGATGACCCTTGTTCGAAGATTGGGTGGAAGTGAGCCTGCTATTATCTACTCACCGTGCTTTCGCGTGCCTGGCGTCCTTGAGAAGGCGGCCGGGAAGCAATTGCGCGGGTGACGCAAACGCAAGCGACGAACAGCGCATGATGACTGTACGTGTTGCGTATAGACTTTTCGAAAGTGATCGACGGCGATATGATGGATGATGGATGGTTGATGGATGATGTGTGGTGGAGATGAGGTGTGGTGGGGCGGAGGAAGGTGTTGGTGTTGCGGGCGGAGCGCAGGGGTCGCTGCCTCTTTTGATTTTTGTGCTACACGTGAGACCATCTACTGGAAAACTCAAGAAACGTGTTCTCATGCACTTATTTTGGAGATTCTATATATTATTAGGGAAAGGTTTTCAAGTTCGATTGCAATAGGCCGAATTCCCAATATACTACATACAAAGGCATTTCACTATTCCATTATCCGCACATCTCATATTTAATTGTAACTTAACATTCGTTACCGGGAACCGAGATCTACCCTATAGCGAGACAGGGGACGATATAATCAGTTCCTATAGAGTACTCCTTGCCTAGCTCCCAGCTCGAGCCCTAGAGCACACATAGACTTAATATATGTTAACTAGGTATCTTCTTCTACTCCATAGAAATATCACCATCTCGCTTCACGGTACATCTCGCTATAAGCTATATTAAATTATAGTTATATATGTTTTCGAAGCTCTTTGTATTAAACCCGGTCGGTTATGCATCTCGACCCCGCTTTTTCCCAACGCTAAAAATTCGTCAGTGGGCTAGACCAACGTGCCAACGTACATCCAAGAACTCTATAACAACATCTTATCGAGTTGCTAGAATCCATATTTCTCCATGGCAAAGGTCTCTCCCGGATATTCGATATGGGGCTCAGAATCTGCCTTCTCTCTTTTCAACCTCAAAAGGTTAAACTACTGTGCTGTCTGTATGCATCTGGACCCGGACCTCATGCGTGAAAGATGCACGAGAAAATGTCCAATGATTATTCCACAGCACTGGCTTCGTTTCTCTGCGGACGATTTCAACAGGGATTTTTTCAAAATAGACACCTCTGTTCGGGATCTCCAGCATAAATCAGCGCAAGGATGTCAAGCTTGTTCAATGTTAATTTGCTGCCTTACGCACTTCGACCCATTGATTGTCGAGGATGTTCACTTCAAGCTCTCGCTTTACGTTCTCCCAGGGCTTGATGTGTATGTGGTCGGGCGCAAAATCCAGCGCACAAAAAGTTTTGATATGAGACTCTTCTGTAAGCCAGGTACGATTGCTAAATTAAGTGCATAGCGAGCTAAAGACATACTGATATAAACAGAGCAATCGGTTCCATGGCCGATACTTTGTACCGAACGTAAACCCATTTCAGAAGCATTGACTGATGATCGTCTAAGCCTGGTGACCGGATGGATTGATGGGTGCCTCAGTACTCACTCTCATTGTGCAAAAGAATCTTCGGAAGGTTTTCCTAGGCGTCTTGTTGATGTCGGCTCACCAGATGGTGAACGAGGTCCCGTTCTGGTGGATGGGTTGACGGAACACCCACCGTACGTGGCGCTGAGCCACTGCTGGGAAGCATCTCAACCTCCGAAGCTTACAAATTCCAATCTTACACTGATGAAAGCGGAAATACCATGGAGTGTTTTGTCGCCTACAATCCAAGATGCCATCAGGATCACTAGGTGGCTCGGAATCAGATACGTATGGATTGATTCTCTCTGCATCCTCCAAGATGATGAGAAAGATTGGCACAGCCAGGCCTCACAGATGGCCCACATATACGGCGGATCTTACGTTACAATAGCCGCGCATTTTGGCCCTCATCTTGGTTCCAAAGCCGGTGGTTGCAACTTGCAGAGAGATGATTACGAGACAATCGAGGTAGAATGTTGCAAAGACGAGAAAACGTTTACTGTCCAGATGCAGCGAAAGTCTCCACAAACAATCGACGTAGCTCATACATCCCTCATGAGAAGAGCGTGGTGTTTCCAAGAACGACGATTGGCTCCGAGAGTGCTTCACTTCCATAAACACGAAATCGAGTTCGAATGCAGCTCAGGGACACAATGTGAATGCAGGTTCCATGAAAAGCCTAGAATGAGCTCAAAAGTGGCATTTGGCTTCTTATACCGAGAGGAACACATCGATAGCAACTCCACACATTTGAGGAAAAGATCCGTTAGCAAGCCTTGGAACATATGGGATTTCTGGCACGAACAGATCACGGCATACACAAGTGCACACTTGAGCTTTGTTACAGACATTCTACCGGCTCTCTCTGGAATCGCTCACCGTATGCCTCGGCAAATATTTGGAGATTATCTCGCAGGCCTGTGGACCGGTAGCCTTCTCACTGAACTCTGCTGGTACCACCGCGAGTCAACCAATCGATACCGGTACCAGGAATATGTTGCCCCTACTTTCTCTTGGGCCGCAAGCTCAGGATCTTGCGAATGGCCGGAAATGAAGGAGTTCCTATCACTTTCCGACTGTGCAAAGATTTTGGCAGCCGAAGTGACACATAAGGGCGGTGACAAAATGGGACAGGTCGCAGAGGGCTTCATTCACCTCTTCGGACGTTCAGCTAGAGCAAGGCTTAAATCTAGAGCGCAGACGCCAGAGGACGAACCATATCGCGCTGTTCTTTCACAAGCATATTTCCCAGAAGCATGGTATACTGCCGTTGTGTACCCTGACACCGAAGAAGATGCACTTTACGCTGCCGACTACGAATTCACCTTGGTTGAGATAATCAAGCCCGAGAAATATGGGAAACATGGGATAGGTAAAGCTTTAGTGTTGAAACTCTGTACATCTTCCGGTATGAAGTATGAACGTATTGGTCTGGCAGAAGTGAGTGGTAATTTCTTTCGACAAAATCAAGTCGAGGAGGTAGTCATACTCTAAAAATTTGTTTTATGTTCGACACCACACCACAGTCAGATAAAAATTCCGTGACTATTCAAGAACAATGGTCTCGAATCGTGGGTTCGACTGGGCCCATCTTTTCAAGAAAATCCATCCAAGACCGATTCTCCGCCAGTGCCTGCCCACTCTCTCAACCATCATGACATCCACAGCCGGCGGAGGTAGAACAGGCGTGCCCTCTTTGCCAAAGTACGTCACATCGGGACACCCATTCCAGATTGCTTTTTCTATAGTTTTCTTTCTGATTTCCCAGCCATGGAAATAATGGCTGTCGAGTTCGTGGGAGAGGTTGAGGTATTTTCGCTGTTCGAGGTGGCGCATAGAGAGAGCGATAAATTTGAAGCAGTTGTCATGAAAGTGTTCTATTCTCTCCAGAGTACTTTGGGGAACGGAGGGTAAGCGTCCACTGTGTCGACCTTGGATGTCGTATATGTCGAATTCATCAGCGTCTGAGACATTACTGGAGTTGTTCTTAGGCCGCAATTGGAAAACAGATGTTTGCGTATACCCTGCAATGAGCTTTTGTTTCGAATCATTTTCCTCCGCAATAAGCTCAGTTTCCAGCTTGATATCATTTTCGGGGAATGTATCGGCCGTAAAATCACTATACGTCGGCCAGCGGCTCTGCAGCGAGTCCGTAGCAGACTGAATAGTCATTTCCTCCAAATCGAAAATCGGCAAGGCTGACGGTATACATCCTTGCGAGGTAGCTATTGCCAAATGGAGTCTGGCATTTTTTTCGATTGCCACATGAAGCTTGGAGCTACTCTCTTTCTCAATAGAATGCCATTTCGTCGGGGAGTGGTCACCGCTTTGGAGCAGTTTTAGCTGGTTATTGGTATCCCAGCAAGCCCAAAGAACTAATGGACCATAGAAACTGTGTCCGGATTGGCTTAGACGGTCTCCGTCCGCTGATGCCCATGACCAGCTTGGAAAATTTAGATCCTGCGCCGTCTCAGATTGATGCCGCAAATCCATTACGCGATGCCATAGGAGGCCTTGGTTGAAATCCGCGCATGGAAGCCCGTAAAGAAACCCGCCGTCCGGGTATAATCTGGATGCAATGCCGCTGAAAGCATTGATAATGTCCGATTGGAACGTGAGTTGCCGTCTCACATACGCACTCAGGTGTCGAAGGTACTCGGCATATCTAGAAGGGCCATCGTCACTGTCTGGAGCCCGGACAGTAAACTCAGAAACCCCAGACATTGTTTTCGTACCCGCGCATTCAGAAAACGTGTTCTGCGTGCACTCGAAATAGACCCAAGACTCTGTAAGCCAGACACGCCTAGTGGGGAGCACAGCTTCCTGGTACGTCCAGCCGCGAGTGGTCCAGGTCGACTTTGCGATGGCCATGTTCAGGTGCATTTGCTGCCCTACGACGTATGTCCGGAACAGCCGCGACACCAGCTGGTCTTTCCGTTTTGCGCTGATGCCTGCGATGCCGGCATGCATGTCCTTTCCGTGCGTGCTGATGAGCACGAAATCCGCGCACCCGAATATCGACTCCATGTGCTCGATTTGGTGCTGTTTGGTTTCCGCGTCATCTTGGACGATGCACAGGCGGTCGACCCATAGATAGCGCTCGTCGAGCTTGGCGCATGCTTCGAGGGCGTCTTGGATGGTGGCTGGAAGGGAAAGTGATTGCAAACTTCCTTCTTGCTCAAGGATTGGCAGATTTGATTTGGTGCATTGAATTGTGTTGGCCTCTAGACCTACGCCCCAGACGTAGCTGAGCGCTACGAAGCGCGGGTTGTCGTGGGGCAGGACAAGACACATTCTGTCGACGTCGATGAGCCGGAAATCGGTCCAGTGCTCTCGCTGCGGCGGGGTGCAGCTTCCATGATTGTTTCTGCAATGGTCTAAACGGTCTTTGATGAAGTTCCAGTTTATATGCTCGGCCCCAGGGAGCGTTGTTTGTGATGGTTCCATAAAGGCGGGAAAAGACAGTTCATTCACTGAAACAAAACCACCCCAAGATTCGGTACCGATGCCTAAAAACTCAACAGGAATAAACCATACGTAGTATAGTATGGTTTGGTAATATGAACAGAGCCGGAAGTTAGAAAGAACATGGGATTTGAGTAAAGTGACTTTGGTACGATAGGTTGAAGTTGGAGTCGACTGGCTTTGTGAAACGTAATGCGGAGCACATCGGAAGACAAGATAGCCAATAGGACAATTTTCGGGGCAACTTGAACAATACTGTTACAGGGATATGCAGCTATGTATCCATGTCCCCATGGCGAGTAGCATTTCGGAGAAGCGATATCGTATTAGGTCGATCTAAGTTTCAAAAAACAATATGCTATACCCGTGTCCGCATTCTTCTATATCTGAATAGTGGTGGACGATACTGTCACGTATCATTCTACCTTGTTCACCTCTCAACCGCATGCCAAATAAAATTGTAGATACCCACGAACCACTCCTTATCTGGGTGACTATACTAAATGCACAAATGGAGCGAGGTGGTATATGTGTATGGACTTTAAAAATTACAGAAGTAGAAGGGTCCCTTATGAATGTATGAGGGTGTGGAATACAAGTTGTCACGGCAATGAGGCGGATTCAAATCAGATTGTGTAGGATTGACTACAATTATTATTATTATTGTATTTACCTCTGTCTGTGCTATATAGCTGCCTCCCGGGGGGCTTGTAGAGGGGTGGAGTAGCCACCGTTCCGCGTGACAAAAGAAAGATCCTCCGCGTCCCACCTATATACAAAAAAGAGTTCGTGTGCGTGTGAGTTGGACGGCCCTTACCGTCCCAACTAAGGTGCTACGGCCTCGCCGTGATTGCCCTATCTTTCTAGGCTTGCTTCGCTTCTTCGTCCCTTCTGGTACACCCCTGTTGTCTCCAC